TCTTTTATTTTTGAACGTGTCAGTGACCAACACGATAGCATATGCTTCTTTGGTCACTGAGCACATTTTGTTTTGGTTTTATTATTATATTTTCCTTATTTTTAATTAATGAATCTTTTGTAATAGTGTGCGATAGTGAAATATGTCTGTAAATAGTGTCAATTAATAAAAAATCTGAATCTGAAAAAAATCTTTGCTGGTCTGTTGCTCTCTCCTTGGAGGGCAGGGTCCCTGGAATATTATGCTTTGTCTAAGAAATGGATACCTTAGTAATTTCCGCGCAAATTGTGACACAGGCGAATGTATAGTAAACGTTGCTGGTATATATATCATTGTAACTGTTCTAAATGGCACTGAGAATTGTTGATGGTCACGCATATGTCAGGGGTTCCTTATTTTGTGCCATCACACACGCAACTGTCACGTGTTCTACCAATTTCCCAATTTGACTGTCACGAGATTCATCACAGGTCTCATTCAGAAGTCACGAAATTTGTACATAATGCAGTTAGTCGTATTTCCGCAGGATATCTTTGTGGGCTTCGTTCTGTGGACATGAGTTCCACATCAGATAATCAAGGAAACCGAACAGTCGACAATAAGTTCAAGGAAAACATTCTTCGAGCTCTGAACGCTATGAGGCAAGAAAACAGCCTTTGCAATGTTATTCTTCGCGTCAGTGGCACGATCAACTTTTCCGCTCACCGATGTGTTTTGTCTGCTAGCAGCTCATATTTTCAAGCACTATTTACAGACGATTTTCTTGAGAAACAGAGCGATGTGGTGGAATTAAAAGAAATAGGTGCTTCTGCAATGGAAAAAGTACTAGAATTCATTTATACGGGCGAGGTAGAAATCGACTTGGCAAGTGCACAGGATTTAGTTATGGCTGCCGATTACCTAAACATTCCAGCGTTAAAACTGAATGCTTCAGCTGTGTTAGAAACGTCGATCGATGTGTCGAACTGTCTTTCTCTTCAGCAATTTTCTACCAAATATGACTGTGTTCGGTTGAAAGAATCCTGTGCTCTCTTCATAAATCAAAACTTCTCTCAAGTAGCCAAATCAGAAGGATTTGAAGCCTTGAGCTTCGAGTCGCTGATAGACTTGTTCAGGCGTGACGAACTCAGTGTTGTAAACGAAAGCGAAGTCCTTCATTCGGCGATTTCTTGGGTAAAACACGACCTTCATGCGAGGGAGAAACTTCTTCCCGATGTTTTGAAGCATGTTCGATTCGCCCATATTCCTAAAAGTCACTTGGTTGACATTGTCAACAGCGAAACATTGCTTCAACGTAACGCAATCTGCGTAGATTTATTACCTAACAACCCAGCAGGCACTACTTCCATTAATGCACTTGGAGCGTCACAGACGCCCAGAACAGGTCCTCTTGAGATAGTGGTTATACTAACAGGAGGTAAATCGGTTTCGAGGTATGGCTTGCAGAAAAACTTTTTGGCATTCAGGCCGTCGCGTGACTCGTGGGTCACGCTACCTGATCTTCATCTTCCTCGTCATAGTCACGGTGTGGCCGTCTGCAAAGGTTCACTGTACATAACTGGGGGAGTTTGCGGAAACATCGCTGCTCATCACCACGTCTGTCGATTTAGTCCTCTTCGTAATAAATGGCGTTGTGATGTATCTGATCTTCCTTATCCAGTGTCTTGTAGTGCTGTGGTTTCACTTCAGAACAAGTTGTTTGTGATTGGTGGAAGAGACAAGCGTAATAACACACTAACCAAAACACAGTGCTACAATCCTCGGCGCAACCAATGGGATTGCGTCGCTGACATGAACATTCCACGTGAAAGCCACTGTGCAACGGTATTGAATGACGCTATCTACGTCATCAGCGGGGACAAATTGAACTTTCAAAGCTCTGAATTCTACGATGTCTCCACGAACAAGTGGAACCTTTTACCAGACATGACCTTGCCACGCCAAAGGCCAGCGGCTCAAGCTAATGGCGGGAAAATCATGGTAGTCGGCGGCTTTCAAGGAGCAAACTACAAAATGCACACCACGTGTGAGATCTTCGATCCAAAGCAAAACCTGTGGAGCCTGGTATCTGGTCTTGTTGTACCACGTGCAGGGTGTGGGATCACGTGCGTTAAAAGTCACGTGTATGTATTCGGCGGGTCCAATGGCCGCTCAGTTCTGAACACCCTGGACAGTGTAGAACGTTACAGCGCTGAAGAGAACGAATGGAAGAAAGTCTCTGTCATTCCTGAGACTGTAATTACGCCGCAGGTTGCTGTAATTAGAATGCCGAGAAAATATTTAGTATGAAATCTCAGTGCCAAAGTCGGTCCTGCAATGGTACATTTTTATAACATATCATTTCACGTATTGAAAACTTGTTATTAAAAATTCCCCCAAAAGTAGAAATTACCTGCCTTGCAATTAATTCTAAACGGCCCGACAATTAAAGCCATGAAAATCTAGAAAAGGTATCTGTAAAAATGTATTTTTTCACATTACGGAATGCACACTTGTTGTAGTGTTAATTTGCAGGTACGGTGTCGGTATTGGCAGTGCAAGGGAGGGGGGGTGATGGATTAGTGTGGTAGAGTGCTTGACGATTTGACTGTGATTAGGTACATGAGGCACTTTTCTTCAGGTTCAGGCATCTCGTTTTATTTCTGTCAATTTTTTTTGTTTGAAATAGATACCTTCATTAAAACGAAAGCTCAAGAGAGTCGTTCGTTTAGGGGTCGAAGTTTCGAGGAACGAGATAGCCGGTCACAAAGAAGAATTAATTTTAATTTAATGGATCTATCAAAACAGAGGTGTGAATAATGTATTTATTTCATTCGTTTTGGCGTAAGCAACAACAGTTTTAAGTTTGCTGTAAATTTTCTTCACGTTTAAGATGTAGTCAGATTGCCTGCATACGTATGGTCCAGCCATTAATAAAAGAGGTGACATACTATTCTTGTCTGCGTTTGATGAGGTTTAAATTAGCACAATTGAAAACTGATTTGTCCTCGTTTTACTACAGAGGGATCACGGAACAAGAAGTGTTTTTACACTTCCTTCTTGCTCAAGTCACGTTTTGTTACCTAACGTTTCTATGAAAAAAGGTTGCTCCTGCCGAAGTAAACCAAAAGTTAACCCACCCGGGTTCGCACATGGGCGTGTCAATTCTATAGGTCCTGATTTCCCCCTGTTTGGGAGTCAAAGATTATATGGATTATATGAACTGGCTCTGAGAGAAATTTATTGCGGGAAATTTTCTTCAATTACAGCCAGTTTATGATGTAAATTGTGCGTTATCCTATCTTACGGGGCTCAGCCCATTTTGTTGGCAAGTCCTATCTTAAACAGGTATTACGAGTTACGACCAATGAGTGATTTATTTTTGCTTGCAATTTAGAACACTTTTCAATCAAGTCAGACAACTTTCATAATTGCTTCGCACACAAGAGCTGTCAAAGAAACATGAATCATGAACGCACAGAGAAGTGTCAAGGGAAGATATTTTGTTCAAATGAGCGTGTAAGTAAAAATAGCTGATATTTTTAAGAAGTGTCAGAAGTAAAATTTCCAGACTTAGGTTCCAAAGATACCAGATCGTAATTTGTAGTTTACAGCAAAATTGTAATCAAAAATTTGCACTTAAACTTTCGTCGTTTTAATTTTTTTTTTTATAAAAATCATGTTTGCATAATCCTGTGATCACTAGCTACTAGTGTGATCAAAATATGTTTATCCTTAGTATTGTACGCATTCAAAAGACTGTCCTTTATGCCAGTGCAATTTGAAAGCCGAATTGTCAAATATCACGAGTATTGTCAATCCTTAATTGCTCGAGCTTTCATATCCTTACTCATTTATCTGTTATATGGGTATATGACTGAGAAAATTACGACTGACGCGTCCGTCAATTTGCACTTCAATGGCAATTAAAAATTAACGATAAATTTTCCTGCTCTCAACCAATCACAATTAAGTTTGTTTTCAGTTATATAATTAGGTCCGTAATCATACGAGTGATTATTAGTCCCATTTGTTTAAAGTAGTTTGATTACAAACCGAATCAGGACGTCACGGTATTCCAATTTGATAACCATATCAACAACAAAATTTTTAAAAAAGGCATGTTTATTTGGTGAAAAAAAGGAATATAAATAAGGAATATTCCGTGGACACAAAAAGGAAACCAAACAAGTGCACGGCACGCGAATTTTAGACAATTATTGGATGAGGTTTTTGTGATATCTAGAATAATCAAAGTCGAGGTAGGGGTTATCAGCCGAAGCCGAAGGCTGAGGCTGTTAACTCTTACCGAGACCTTGATTATTCTGGATATCACAAAAACCTCACCTAATAATTGTTTTATTATACATTGAACGAAAAAAATGGAAGTCGTGTTTTTGCTTCTTCACTGACGGTAAGCAACACAAAGCGCGCGAACTTGACACGATTACCCTTAAAATCATGCACCGCGGTCATACATGACATGATTACCCGTGACCTTGGGTGTCCTTGACATGATTATTGTATAATCTGCAGGTAGACGACGTCACAGGCGCTGATTTCGAAAATTCGCTGTACGCTTTTGGCCAATCAGAAAAGAGATAGTGAGTCCAATATATAATAATAATAATAATTTGTTATTTGTTAATCGCACGTTAGTGTAGTAAAAAATAGAGCGTACCTAAAGACCTAGCAGGCGAGGGAAGGGATTCTCTAGATATGTCTCTCCGGGAAGTTAAGAACCAATTAATTTCAAGAATATAGTTGCACGTTCCAAGTCTACAGTTTTGATCGGTGGGTCTTGATTTGGCTATTGGCCCAGTCATTCATGTGTCCATGGCCTTACTACAATATACAGTGCTTTTTGATGTGAAGTATATATTCAGATTCAGATTTTTTCAGATTTCAGATTTTATTAATTGACACTATTTACAGACATATTTCACTATCGCATACTATTACAAAAAATTCATTAATTAAAAATAAGGAAAATATAATAATAATAAAACCAAAACAAAATGTGCTTAGTGACCAAAGAAGCATATGCTATCGTGTGGGTCACTAACACGTTCAAAAATAAAAGACAAGACACATCAGTTACTAGAAACAATGCAATAAAGGAAGTAAAATGTGAATAACAAAAGTATTCGAAATAAACAAGTTAAATGAATAAATCATAATACAGAAGAGTAATATTGAGTATTTAAAAGGTATAGTTTATNCGGTTGTAGATGAAAGTGAAGAATGATCATCGCAGTAAATTTTCCAATTTAAGCAATTGGAAAGACGAAGTCTGAAAAAATCAGGGCTCCATGCTCTACCAACTGAGCTATGAAGCCACACATTGCAGCGTACACTATTGGATGGTTTAGGGGGCTGCCGTCTGCTAAATCACTAAGTACTAAGACACTATAAAGATGTGAAATTTGATGTTTGTTTAATTATTTTGTTAATTAATTGCAGTTAATTAATTGCTCAGCCTTTCGGCATGGGGTGTGGGGTGGGGTAGGTTCACTACGTAAAACGTGTTTTACCTACGTTACTTCTTTGATAACTTTCAGCAAATTCCTTGCTTTCCTCGCGGTACTACTCTATTTAGAACAAAACAATTTGCGTTAAACGCATGCGCGGACTACATATTAGGTGGAAGATACATTTCATGCGGGATCACACAAACTTGGAGTGCTTTTCCTTTTGGTAGAACCCTTAATGTAAGGCGCAAGCGTTCTAGCATCATAAACGTGATACACTCTGTTCTCGTCCCTAGAGCCACGTGTTTTTATTTTATTTTATTTTATTTTTTGTCGTGTGATATGAGCATGAATGCACTTATTTTTCGGGTAACATCATTTCTCCCATCTTAGAGGAAAAATCGCTACTGTGACTGCAAATCTTTTGGAATTACACCCCTAGCTCTGTTAAAGAAACAGGGACCGCGGAGGGCATTTTGAAGAAGTAGGGCTAAAGAATCTGGCCAATACAAACAAACGTTAAGGTCAGTGTTTCGCCATTTATCTTACATTTGCGCGCCATCTGGAGCCTTAGCGATCCCAGCGATAAGAGTGGCCCGCGGTCCCTGAGAAATATAATCTGCTGTTTCAAACAACTCTAGTGTGCTTGGCAGGTTTCAAATAAAGAGTGGAAACGTGTTCCTCCTCCTTAGGCTTTTATATAGCGGCTTGTTTATTTATTTTGTTTTTAATTGTCTCTATGAAAGAGACCAAAAAGTTCATATTCAGCCGAAACTTTCTCGAATTAATAACATTACAAGTTGTCAGATTGTAAATTTGTGGCAAAAGGAACTTCTCAAATATTGCTGAGGACTCCGTGGCACCTACTGAAAGCGCAGAATGATTTAATCAGTCTTTAAGAAGACTCGTTTACCGATGTAAGATGTAATCTCGGTCAAGTAGCGCTGTTTACCTTCAACACTTCTCATTGAAATGCTTCTCACTCGTATAAGTCGACATAATCGCGTATTAATTTTAAGTGGTTTGTTATTAACACCAAAGGTGGTAATACAATAAGAACAGTGCTATTCCGTGACTATCGGATGATTAAATTAGTTACTGTTTATCGGTAAAAAAAAAAACAAAAAAAACTGGGGTTTGATTAAAACAAAATTGTGCCTCTTCCATTTCTTCATCGGATATTTAACTTCCTTCCATTTATCTCCAGCGGTAGAAAAAACAAAAGAAAACGAAACACTGACAACAAAAAAACAAGGACATCTTCCCTGTGTTTGCGAGAAAACAAGGGTTTGGTGCTACATACCTTTATGAGGAGAACAAAAGTATCCAGTAATTGGTGCAAACGTTGGCGTGGAAAGTAAAATTGTCACGTTTGATACTGCAACGTATTATTGATTTAAAATGAACAGAAATCAAGGTTCCTGTCCGTTCATAATCGTTCTGCAAGAGGAAAGCTACGAAACTACTACAAACGTCTATAGAAACTGGGAGTGAACGGCAGTGGCGAAGACCATTGTGACTAGTAAAGTGTAAGAGCTGTACAAAGCGCTCTGCACTATCTAAGATTGTCTCACTAGTTTTCCGACTCCCGGCTGTACCGGGATCAAAACGTCATCAACACTAACCTTGCGTATCTCCTGGAAGTGATAGTGTTTTGGTTTAAATTTACGTCTACTTTAATAATTTTCAAACCAGTTTTGTTATTTTATTGCCTCATAATCATTATCAGAATCTGAATCAATCCAGTAAAATTCAAATTCTTGAGGAAACTTCTACGCCAAAAATAAGCATAAACTACAATGATAACATTGGTTGACTGATGACGGACAATGTTCCTGTTTTAATATATTTTTGACGCAACCAACAGTCATTTTTTTCATTTCTAATTAAAAAATAATTGAGAGATGAGTTTTGGAACAACAACGTATAATTTTTACGACCGGAATAATTACAAAGGATGTCAGCAATTGCAATAATGTTTATTAATAGATCTGTAGAAGTATACATTAAAAGGCCTAAAATTGAGACCAATACTTTACTTCAATAAACAAGTACCTACGCAACTGCATAATAACTTCTCTTTTAATGTTACCCTCGGTTAAAACCTGTGTAGAAAAAAATTCATATATTTGTTAACTGTGAGTACTTATATCTTCGTGAAAAAGTTACACTATATTGTTAATCAATTTCGTGTTAATCACAATTTTTACAAACTTGTGTCTAATCTAAGAGAACAATCATTCATTTATTTTTTAACACCCTTCTAATCACAATGAAAATGCATGATCGTAAGTAAAATGTCACATGCCGAGTAAATATTTACGATATCAACCCTTTCCACGGATGCAATAACAGTGTGGAGATTCATATCGCATCGGATATGGTCCTGATAAAAATCTTTTTTCTTAGCAGGCTTTCCATAAATAAGCCTGACCTTTTATTTTATTACTTTCGAGAAGAAATATCTGTGCAGCATATCTGC